TTTCTAACCCGTCCTTCCTCGGGGGAAGGCAGCATCGCTGCTTCCATAAATATGGACATGCTGGTCGCCTGGGGGAAACACCTTACTGCCTTCACACTCCTGTCGCAGAGGACAGTACGACTTTACCCCCAGACCGCCTCGCACCACGATTACTCGTAGTGCGGGGTCTCGCTGCCCTTGGTCTAGCTGCTCCCCTTTAACCTTCCTGGTATGGTTGTACCTTGTGGAACGAAGTTCCAGCCAGTGTAGCCCGCGGGATCATTGCAGCACTCAAGCCCGACCACCACGTCAAGGTGGCAGCTTTAGGTCAGGATAATGCCTTTGAGCGAACGTACCGAAAGTACCTGAGTACCTGAGTACCTGAGTTGTTCGGATATGCCAAGATTCAAAAAATACATCTATTATGGAGTTATGGAGGGAGACAGAGCGTTTTACCTAGCACAGACGGATGTGGCAAATTTGGATGAGTTTGTCCGTAGATGAAAGGATGAGGGATCTGGAGGGGAATAGCTTTCACTGCCAGATATTTCCGTAGTTCCTGAAGGTCGAGCAAGTCAAGAGCATCCTTGAAATGAAAAAGCGACCACCGATGATTGTTGGTATGAATTGCGCAGTGTAAGATACTGGCACAAAGTTCAGTCGAGTAAACTTCAGCCAGCTGAAAAAAAATAACTCTCATCAACCTCACTCTCTCTCTCTCGATTGGGGAGCATCCTGCGCTGGATAGTGCCAGATAGCATTTTGGGGGTTTTTCTTACCAGACGATGCCTCAGTGGTTTCTGGATGCAGTATTTGAATGCCTTGGGAGGACTGTGGTCACCGTCGACAAGCTCCAATTTGGATGTTTTCCAGTAAGGCCACCAGGAAAACTACAATGGCTCCACCGTTTGGTTCAGTTCTTTGCTGCCGGTTGGCATTCTATTCATGCCTATTCTATTCTTTCTATTCTATTCTATTTTTCCAGAGGAACTGAACTACTTTCCAAGTACTGAGCTCGTCGTCCAAAGTGACGTTTCTGTAAATGCACGGATTCCATTTTTCGTGGATTGTTTGACTACCACCCGTCCTCCTTGGATTGGAAATCAAAGGACGCACATTCCCACCCCGAAAGTCCCCTCCATCCCCAAGCATTCACTATCCAGCAGCGCTCTGTCATCATGATCAATAGCATAACTGACAGCAGCATGAGAACACTGGTGCTTCAATGTCATGCAACCACACCAAACTACTCCAATATAGCCCCAATAAAAGAAGGAAATGGGTCGGTGAAGTGGGCGTAGAGCTAACCTACTGCAAAGAATTAATGTGTCTACACGTCACACTCAGTCAATGTGGATGAAAGTAGACAGCGTCAATGCCACCATTTCTTTCAAGAGATGGTCATGTGGCTCCATTCTCGAGGACGAACGGCAATAAAAGCATGTCTTTTCATAAGATCCTTCATTCTCTTTTGCCGTGTCATGTTGTTGCTTAAAATCTCTACAAACATTGATCATCTATGAAAGGATGAGGGATCTGGAGGGGAATAGCTTTCACTGCCAGATATTTCCGTAGTTCCTGAAGGTCGAGCAAGTCAAGAGCATCCTTGAAATGAAAAAGCGACCACCGATGATTGTTGGTATGAATTGCGCAGTGTAAGATACTGGCACAAAGTTCAGTCGAGTAAACTTCAGCCAGCTGAAAAAAAATAACTCTCATCAACCTCACTCTCTCTCTCTCGATTGGGGAGCATCCTGCGCTGGATAGTGCCAGATAGCATTTTGGGGGTTTTTCTTACCAGACGATGCCTCAGTGGTTTCTGGATGCAGTATTTGAATGCCTTGGGAGGACTGTGGTCACCGTCGACAAGCTCCAATTTGGATGTTTTCCAGTAAGGCCACCAGGAAAACTACAATGGCTCCACCGTTTGGTTCAGTTCTTTGCTGCCGGTTGGCATTATATTCATGTCTATTCTATTCTTTCTACTCTATTCTATTTTTCCAGAGGAACTGAACTACTTTCCAAGTACTGAGCTCGTCGTCCAAAGTGACGTTTCTGTAAATGCACGGATTCCATTTTTCGTGGATTGTTTGACTACCACCCGTCCTCCTTGGATTGGAAATCAAAGGACGCACATTCCCACCCCGAAAGTCCCCTCCATCCCCAAGCGTTCACTATCCAGCAGCGCTCTGTCATCATGATCAATAGCATAACTGACAGCAGCATGAGAACACTGGTGCTTCAATGTCATGCAACCACACCAAACTACTCCAATATAGCCCCAATAAAAGAAGGAAATGGGTCGGTGAAGTGGGCGTAGAGCTAACCTACTGCAAAGAATTAATGTGTCTACACGTCACACTCAGTCAATGTGGATGAAAGTAGACAGCGTCAATGCCACCATTTCTTTCAAGAGATGGTCATGTGGCTCCATTCTCGAGGACGAACGGCAATAAAAGCATGTCTTTTCATAAGATCCTTCATTCTCTTTTGCCGTGTCATGTTGTTGCTTAAAATCTCTACAAACATTGATCATCTCTAGAAAATCCGATTCGGTGGCCTGAACCCTTTCAACAACAAATTAACAAGCCAACTGCTACTCTGAAGTCCGATTCCGAATTCTACGTGAAAAACAGCGGCCAACAAGCCTAACTTTCAAGTGATCAAAAGATCGGGCTGTTAGCCGGTTCAGGCGGACTCAGAATGGTCAAAAATGAGGATATACTCCAGTATCCTTTGAATACCGGTAGATAACGGCGCATCCGGAATCCACCTGAATTTCCAGTGTTGCCGTTAATTGCACCCTAAATGGGACACGCTGTGCATGCTTTTTACCCGTTTTGGGCATCTAGCACAGTGTGCACCGCGTATTAGGCATCATCATCACCAATACCAATAAACCACCAATACATACTGGCGCTTGACTGGCATACAACCGTGAGAGATCTACGTGAAGAACGGAAAGAAAAGGGAACAGCAAGGGGTTATTACGAAGAATTCCCATACCGCAACGACCACAAGGTGTTTAAACCTTCAGACAGCATTGGAATAAAAATACCTGAGCATCACGTCGAAGTAGGGGACCATCCGCGGTAATGACCCAGCGTCCTTTGCAAAACTCACAAGACATGGGTCTAGCATAAAACGCCACGCAAACATTAGCCAGACAGCTATGAAATGACAGGAAGTGCTACCCGGAGATTAAGTGCGTGCCATGTAATGCAAAATTCCCCAATTATTTAACAAGAGGTTCACCCACACTGTTATATGCTCAAGTACACTTCGAAGAAGACGGATATTGTTAGTCTGCAGTGTAGTCGTAATGTAAAAGTGTGGTCAACGCATCCGGCATCAAGTGAAGACTTCGCTCGATGCTTACGGATTGCGTATCATGTTCCGAAGGCAGGTGTTCCAAAATGACGGAAGTCAATGGCCGTGGTGTGACGAGGAGCCCGATATGTCTCAGTGGTTAAGCCGCAAACCTGTTAACAGGAAGGGCCGTAGTTCGAACACAATTTCTGCATTTCGATAACTCCTGTCTAGGCTTAGGCAACCTGGCAGTATCTCAGCCCTCGTGCTTCCTTTGGTTGACATGGAAGGGGTGCTACAAATGGCCATTTATCTACTATTTTATGACTGGCTAACTCTTAAACATGGGGTTTCCACCGATGGCCCGATTCTCCGGAACAAACAACCTAGTGAAAGCAAAACAGAAAGATTCCTCTTATATTTGGAAAACGCTGATGAAGCTTATCTGGCCCAGCAGCCCGATGGAGCTTCAATACAGAAACTGATGATGGTCAAAACTCACGGACCACGGCTCCAAATGAGCATGCTGGATGAAAGGCAGTAACGACCAAATAAACGGTCGTTGTGAGTATTTCTCCCAGTGATCGAGACGCCGGTCATTACTGCCCACTAGGTTTCCAATACTATCTCTGATTAACTCACCAATGAAAGGTCTATTCCAGCTGTCGGCTGGAACAGCTTCCACACTGGCATCTTCCAGCTTTTGAGCTTTCTGGTCCCATCGCGTCTCTGTGCATCCACAGACTACGTTTGAGATGTCGTCCAATCGACCATCTAGCCGAATCATAATATGAGCCCGAAAGAACGGAGTACCTCGCATCAGAGAGTGGTAGTGATCGTTCTGAGATCCAGTGACTCGGAAACACCACAAGCAGTTCCCGGTATCACGTACTGCCAGTTACGGTCAGTGTCCTTCCATGAACATGCTTTTATTGCATGGCCCAGCAATTTTTCGTACGTTTTCATAACACATAGACCACAAAGCTTTTCTATTGCTAAATGGCGAACTGGTTTCCCGAGTTTCTGGAAAATTTAACGGTAATCCGCACCGAACAGGGGGGCGATCTGAATCAACTTATGTGATTCAAAATGACCTGTAATCAAAGGCTGAACAGCAAGACCGGTAGCTGATCTGGTAAATTTGGCCCAAAGACTGCTCGGCGGTAGCTGACGCCAGGTAGCACAAGGGGACCCACTGCCTCTAAATCTGGTGGATAAATGATTGGTGGTCAGTGCGGAGTTGCGAAAGGAGTTCACTCTGTTTTGCGTCTAGACTAAACGTGCCCCAAAGTCATGTCTCTGATGAACTGAAGCGTCTTACCTGTGCATTGCGATCTCCTGTTAGTATGATTATATTCGAGCACCTCGTGGTCGGTAAGAGAGTGGTTGGTGTCTTTGATGATCAGTACAAAACTACACGAGACGCCCTGCATTGTCCGTGAGACGAGCATCGACTCCAAATCGACCACACGGGAGTGATTCCAAGGAAATCAGACGACCGACTTGGACATTCATATCATCCGCACGGACGATAGAGTCAGTGTTTATCGCACCATGAATGAGTACAGTTAAATCGTGATAGAAGTTATCCTTCTCAGCACCAAAGCTGCAGTCCGCTGAAGACCCACTTTTCTTCGGCACAAGTCTCCATTGGAGTTCAAGGCAGTTTCCGATTTAACGTAAATGAACTTCCAGATGTTCTTTCAAGTCTGTGAACAGTTTGAAATCCTTGGGTTCAAATGCAAGTGCCCTTCAAATGGATGTAGACGCTGTAGGGCAGTGGTAATGGGCTGTTACCTTCAGTTGAATGGTGAAAAGTGCGTCCATATGTCATTCGGAGGAGACTTAGCGAACGCCTTTGTCGTGCATTGTGATAATCGACCAGAAGACATCACGAACATAGATACAAGTGATTTAGGTAAAACATGTCCTTCTCATTGCATCATGGAAGATCCGCTCAAGACATTTGCCGTTCTACGAATAATTCGGCGCATCTTCCTTCATATTACTCACAGGGACTTCCAGATGCTCTGCTGATCCTAGGTCAGACCAACCAAGTTGTCTACTCAGGACGCAAAAAAGACCTAACTCTCATTGAGCGTGTCCAACGAGCGGCTCCGAAGATGGCTGCCAGCCTCAAATCCGTGGACTACGTAACACGTCTCGTGGTGCTTGACTTCCCCCTGGAGTATCGTCACCCCCGAGAAGAGCTATTGCTTACCTAGGCCAACAGGTTTCTTGCCGTTGATCCAACTAACACATGCGAGGACATGGTAAGACTTTCAACCTCAGACTCACACATGTACGCCGCAATTCTTCTCATTTCGGGTGGTTGGTGCATGAAATTAATTTCCTCCGGTGGTTGTTTGCGCTGCATCTAGTACCTAGTTTAAACAACTTTTAGGCGCTTATTTAGTTGAGTCCCCATACTGTTAAGATTACTGCCCCGCTCCGAAAACCTAAACACCAGTTCTACACCCCTTTTCGCTCGCGCCACTCAAGCGAACGAAAGCCGCTGAGCGATAAAAAGAAACCCAAACCGGGAAACTTTGGACGAAAGCCTCGATCCTGCGTATAATGCCGTAAAACCTTACTTTCCCTCTCTGGCGTGGAAGCTATGTACACTGTGCATAGTGTATAATATAATCTCCCGAGAAAAAAACAAACTGTACATCACCGGAGAAACGGACTAAAGGCTTTCTCCTTGAAGGGCGGAAACGGAAAACTCACGAGCGACCCAACAGTGGTAGTCGAAGTCTACAGGAGCAACTATGCAGGTTTGTAGTCTACTCCAATCACTCCATTACAACCGACCTTAGAAAGGCGAGACTATGAAGAATCCGTAACCATCTCGCTCTTCAAGGAGGAGGATGTTCGTGCACTTCAGCACAAGACAAACCTTCCAGGGATAAGAGCGTAGATGAGGTGCCTCCAAGTAGTAATATGCACGCTATGGAAGCATCAGGGGACAGTGGTTCTCCGAAGGCAGGTGTTCACGACAATTTCTGTGGATGGGAAACAGAAACAAAGCTCATGAGCCAAAGCCCACTAAGCGAGGTTGCACATCACCAATACTTACATATAAATCAATCAAACTGACAGACACCGTATACTACAAAGTCCATGAAGGCCTCAAGTGTCACCAGCGGACCAAACCAAAATCTCGCAAATGATTGGTCTACAAAATATCGCTTGATCCAGTCCCTTGATGGGCCAATGCTGAATGGCTAAGGATTATGTGTGCATCTGAGGGAGTAAGGAGAGAATGCGTGAAAAATTGCATATAAAGCCTAGTAGGCATATTGTTTTGATATCTGTATGGAGAAAAGACGTTGTTGTTCGAAATCATGCAGAATTTAACCTTTGATTATATTAGTTTCTGTGATTGGGTGGCTGTAGGAACGCTCATACTTCAGAAATCATTCAGTTCTTGCACCGTAAGACTCGTTGACCAGAGCTACAGAAGTAACGGGATGGTGAGACAGCAGCAACAGGACAACCAGAGGCCAAAATATTACACAGCGATCGGAGGAATTGTAGAATGAGATGGGAAATAATGAAAAGGATGTATAGCAAACAACTAGCCACTTGGTTACCGCAGATCACCTGTAGATTTTAGACACGCTGAGTACACATAACTTTCCTATACATGAAAAATGATAAGAGAGGAATATTGAAGTGTGACAAACACTTGGGTGGCAAAAACTGACCAAATAGATATGTAAGCGTATTGTCCGGAGCTAACCTGTTTGACAGTCAATTCCCATGGTCACAAACATAAAAACGGCAACCGCCCGATCAAAAGATTCTTTACTCGGTATCGGCCACCACACTGTCCTGTTGACAGAGGTCACGATAAAGGGAGGTAAAGAAAGAATTATGGCGGAGCTTTAAAGTAAAACGTTTGGGAGTCCACCCCGTGTGACCCAGCCCTATATCAGATCAAGAAAATTCTCTTCCCGCTTCGCATCACGACCAACCTCCAAATCCAGCCTCCTCAGAGCTTCTAGAACACCCGTTGGAAATTTACTCCGAAAATCCGGTGCCCTTTTGCCGAACAACTTCTTGTGAAGCTCCGATCTCACTCTGACGGACAGGCAGATGGCCTCTGGTAACCTTGTGCACTCCGGCGTGGAGAATACTCACGTCAGGTCCCCGTCACAGAAAGCGTTGAGGGAGTCTTATTCCTTCTCGACCGCCTCCTTTATAGACTGTAACTTCAGTTTTCAGAAACGCGTCACAAGTTAGACGCCACATAAATCCAGTCACCTTTGAGGATTTAATGCCTTTCATGTAGTATGCGCTTCACACATATGCGCAATACTATAATTGAGGTCTCACGCGCGCGATAGAGTTAAGAGTGAAGTCGGCCGACTTGTGATTAATCAGTGCCACTTTTTGTGCAAACAACGCTCATAGTTATAAATTGTTTTCGAATAACACTGCTTCTCTAACTAAACAACCTGAAACATGATAGTTCCTTGCTCTGACTTCGTTTTTTAACATATACCAGGTGAAATTATGCTCTGAACCGCCCCCAACTCATATATGAACTCCACACAAAAACATCAGTTCAATCACAGGACGCCAAGCCTCTCAAGGTTGTGTCTTGGTGTATACATTTCACTCGCCTGCTCCATGGCAAGTCCTTGCATACACGACCTTGAGCGTTGACACTGGTCCGATAAATTTTCCTGTAAAATCATCTCACCTAGTGTTTTGTCAGTCGCTCAAAGAAGACAACCCTGCCTTTCCTTGGAAGGAAGCGACATTCACGGATTCACGGAGTGATACACAGGATCGAGGCTTCTGCTCAAGTTGCCCGGGTCGGTTTTGTTCTCGTCGGTCAGTGGCTGTCGTTCACCTGAAAGACACAAGTGAAAAAAGCGTGTAGCACTGCTCTTTATGTTCTCAGCGCGGGGCAGTATGCTCGCCAGCCCGAGGATTCGCATAAATAAATGTCTAATAGTGCTTTAAATTGGGTTCTAGAAGGAGCGTGGACAACCGTCAGAGGAAGGTCATTCCACGCAGCTACTACCCGAAATGAAAAAAATTTTGTCTAATGAATGTGTGTGCTCTGCGCTTGAAAATTTTCTTGCTATGTGCCCGCCGTGTTTGCTAGGTCAACGGCGAAAGAACTGTTTGCCAAGCTTCGTTCAAATGAGGCATAAGTAAGAACTAGGCCCCCTCGGACATGGATCTAAGAGTGGCAAACGGGATCGAAGCTTTCGACCAACATTCCAGGGTCGTGTTTGCTCTCGTTGTTCGACGGCTTCCGTTCACCGGAGAAGCACGATCGGCAAAGTGTGTAGCACCGTTCTTCAGGTTCTCGACTCTGGAGAGTAAGCTTGCCCGCGCGAGAACGCACATCAAAAGGTATCTGAAACAAACTTGAAGAGGGTTCCAGTTTGCAGCGTGAACAACCGTAGGAGCGGGTTATTCCTTACATCATACCCAAAATGAGAAAAACTTTTGGTCCAATGAATGTGCAGCTTTTG